TTAGCACAAGGCCAAATAACACCAAGTAATGAGCCCACTATGGATAACTTGGTGTTAGTTGGTGGTGGATTACTTCTACTTACTGATAAATTACAACAAATCCAAAATCCATACTCTTTGACAAAGCGCAGATTTACTGCTAGAGCACACTTTAGTCTTCTTCAGGACTCCAGACTACATGCCTTCGTCTGACAAACCAAAGAATGTATACAACCTACCATAGTAGGAAACAGCCAGCATCCACACTGACTGAGCAAAAACTGTGAAGCTCCTGAATTAGGTCCCTTTTCTCCATTAGGGAATGAGTCTTTCAAACATGTAGAGCTGCAGGGACAGAGCATCTGTGTACATGTTTTACTGAAAGCGTATATTTCCTGAGAGGATTAACTGTTCATTAGTAGTAGCTGATGAAACAGACGGACATCATAACTGCTTGTTTATTCTATATTGACTGCTTCATTTTTCACACAACCTCACTGCTGTGTGACTACATGCTTACAGACAGTTTTATAACTACTAGCAATAGCAACTAATTATGATGGCATATATTAACTCATCTAAGCCAAAAACATAGTTATTAGGAAAGTTCTGGAAAAAGGTCTACATTGCAGAACTACTAAGAAAAATGGTTTTGCATAAAGGTACCGAAAGCAAAGGACGTCGCTGTTTAAGGGGTTTCTAGCGATTTCTGTGGGCTCATGAACTCACAAGGGAACGAGACACGTCCTCCTGACATAGCAAGGAGTATCGAAAGGCTTTTACTACTCACCGCATCTTTCTCCTCTCCTCCACTGTGCTGCTCCATACTGCAGAGTTTCCTTTTGTTTTTATTCTCCGTCCTCTTCATACTGACTGTAGGAACAGTCCTATCGCGCGCCGGATTGCACCACTTCACCCGCTTGCCTGTGCAGTTTCCAGTATCCTCTCGGTAACTTCACTTAGCTGGCTAGAACAACGTGTCAGGTCGGCTGCTGTGGTTTTCAGGGACACCTCAGCGCCAAACTGAAATGCATGGCTTGCTGTTGCAGTTTGTTGACTTGCGATTCCACCTATGAGTTTGCTCCGGCCAGCCATTCCCGACTCAGAGCCCGGCTACACTTCTTGTGCTGACTCCACATCTGGAAAACCCGTTGTGACAAGCTGTCAATCAGCCTTCTTGCATGAGCAGCCACCGGTGTCTCCTTGAAAACGATAAAAGGGCAGTGTGCGCTTTTCACAGGGATAGGTTTATATTTCTAGAAAAAATGTATCCGTGCTGCGCTTTTTTGTGCCCTCTGTGGCAACAGTTCATTCAACCCGATTTAAGCTAGCGTCTTGCCGCTGAAACACTAGCTGAGCGGCTAGTCTGGCTGCCTGATAACGTCTACCTGCCCAGAAAGACCATGACACCCTGGCAGGTCTACCTTCCCTCTTAACGCTTCCAGATGATTCCCCAAGAGCTCCACGTCTTCCGTCTCTGTCTGGTGACTTCTTAGGCGACATACATCATGTCTCGGTGTTCGCCCATCCTCACATAAAGGCTGATCTCTGCGAACACTGAGTTAACCTCGCTGTTGAACTGCAACGACACGGTACAGCTCAGCTTGTTTCCTGGCTCTGACACGACTGCTGGGGTGTCAGGTTAGCAGGAATACAACATCCGGTCCATTAATACCAAAATAAAAGTATGCAAGAAAGGACAGGAATCCACATGTAATAAAAACAACAAAAACAAATCCTATCTATCTAACTAACTACTAAACAAATAAATATATAAATAATAAAAATGCAATGACTATTAAAAATAAATATTAGTGATAACCTCTTTGTCTCTCCCAGAGTGTTCAATCTTTGACGTCTTTGTAGTCATAGAAAATAAACCAGATGGGGATAACATTCTCTTATTTTAAAACGATAATAATAATAATTAAATTGTATTTATTAATTTAACCAGGTTAGTCTCACTGAGATCAAAGATCCCAGTGGCACTAACCACTGATCTCTTTTACATAATAATTATAATAATTTGGGATTTTCCTGATGTGAGTGAAATTTGAACACTGACAATGCAATGTGATATCGGTAACTGTCGTGGTAAAAGAAGACAAATATACTCTACTGCCATTTCAAAAGAAGAAAATATATTTTTGTTTATCCTGAATGCAATATACTGAAGTCAATATGCCGTTATATTATGTCTGTCATTTTTCGCAATTTGCGCAAGTGCAAAAGGTTTTATTTTGAAATCCTAATCCCCTTCACACCTCTGGTTTCAAGCTCATCTACACCCTCCGCTTGCTAGACGATTTCTTGATTTTGGAAAAAAAGATGATGACGATTATAAAAAAAATCCATGCAGACACATGAAAGAAATTAACTTTTTGTTTTCTAAAATTTAAAAGCACACTCACAGAATCAGACACCTTATACTGATTCCTTTACATATACCGACTTGCTTTTGCATCCTCGTAGTGTTGGGGCTGTGAAACAATTCCACGAGGTTTGTTGTGGTTTGCTGCCACCTATTGATTAACAACTAAACTGCTTCGTATGTGTTTTCTGTGTGTATGTTTAACGAGACCGTGAAATAAACAGATAGGCTTATAAAGTGATGTATATTTTAATGTTTCATATATAGCTGCATATAACATTTACATATTAAGCAATATATATTCTATTATCTAATAATATGAATAATTAGTGTGTATTTTAGGCGCACGTGTTGTTTAATAAAATCCTCTTTTTTCCCAAAGAGGGAATTTTCTTGTCACTTTGACATCCTTGTATTTAAACCACATGGCAATACTTTGGTAAATTGTGCCATATATATGACAGTCAGATTTTCTTTTATCCCCACAGTAGCCTTATTCTATCTTTCACTGTTAAACTTCACCAGGTACACCTGTTCAGTGTTTCATGAATGCAAAGATCTAATTAGCCCGTCACACGTCAGCAACTCAGTCCATTTAGTCCTACAGTCATGGTCAAGACAACTTGCCGAAGTTCAGGTTGTGCAGCAGCAGAAGACCGCACCAGCTGTCACTCCTGTGCTGAGTAGGATAACATTGACTGGGCTGATGGATCTCAAACTCTGCTGCAGCATACAGATGCTTTCATTTAGTTTATCTGGCATAAACAAAATAAAAGCATGCCAGTATCCATCCTATTTGTACCAGTAGTTTAGACTGGTGGTGTAATGTGGGGGACATTTTCTTGGCACACTGTATGTCAGCATCATTTACTCTAAATGTCTGACTGAGTATTGTTGCTAACCATATCCATCCCTCTCTGATCATAGTGTACCCATCTTCTGATGGCTGCATTCAGAAGGATAACACATTCAAATAACCTCAAACTGAATTTTAAATATGACAACGAGATCATGATAATTTCCCATTTTTCTTTTTTAATGCTCTGATATTTTGAGAAGCACTATGTGATTTTTGTCTTGAAAGGTTCTTTACTTTACTGACTTTACTATCACTTTCCTCAAATGACCTCCCAAGTCATTGCGTTTTAATCCATTCGAGACACGTTTGGGGTGTAGTAGAATTGGATATTTGCATTATGGATGTGTAGCTGGCCTGCAAATTTGTCAGCTTCCCATTCAGTTGACCACAACTCCATATTATGGTCAGTATAGACAACAAAGTCCAAAGAGTGTTTCCAGCGCCTTGTTGAATCTTTGTCACAAAGCCAATATGGAGTTCAACTCAGTGTAACTAAAGAAATGGCCAGTGAGTTTACCCTTACTCTTTAGTATAAAATAATTCATAAATTTCAAAACATAACAGGAAACAACTCATATTTTCTGTGCATCATGTCTTCTTTAATTTAACATGTATGATCACTTTTTAATTTAAAAGTTTTAAAATTTTAATCTTTAAATTTTTATGCCTCTGCTTTCATTTTGTATTTGCATTTCCTGCTTTTATAGCTTTTCTTGCTTATTGTTGATCTTATAATCAGCATTTAATATTGTTGATCTAAAAAGAGAAAAGCTAGTGACACTTGAAAGTATTCTGTAATTTTGTGTAAGTCACATGTACATCTATTGTTATTCTGTTTTGTTTTTATTTTGAACAGCATTTGAGCGCTGATTAAACACGGTTTATGAAGTGTACAGTATAAAGAAACCCTCACTGTATTTGCAAGGCTGTGCTTAAGGTGAACAAAATAAAAAACATGTAGTATAACGTGAGAAAACAACAAACATGACAGATATTTTTGTCCCCTTTTATTGGAAAGATCTTCACCACAAAACATTTTAATAAAGAGAAGTCTTAAAAATACAAATGGCCTTCATCCAAAGACCATCTCTTCTCTCTGATGTACATACTACCGTTAATATGCACATATATGAAGGGTGGCTCCTAAAACAGCTCTAACACTAAAAGAAACAAAACAAACCAAGTTTGACCTTTGACCTCTAAGGGAAAACAGTCCAAAACTGTTTTGTCTACTTTGGTTCATTTTATTGCTTCTTAACTACACTCCTACAGTATAGTGCTGTTTTATGTGATTTAGATAGCTAAAAATGCCTGGGCCAATAAAAGTGCTTCATACTGATTGTCACATGCATTCATCTAACAAATAATTTTCTTAAATCAGTTCAGTTTTAGAATTAAAACCGTTGACATGGCACTTTAACACTCAAGCTTAAAAACAAAAGCAAAGAAACACAGAGCTATGTATTGCACAGTAACCCCAGAATTTCCATTTTTCAGTAAAAGTATTAGAGGGCAGTAAAGCCACAGTTCATGCACAAAACAAAACAGGTGACCTACAAAACAGAAAAAAGTCACGAAAACAAACTAAACAATAATAATAATAATAAACACAAGAGGAGCCAATGAAATAAAATAAACTGTGAGTGTCACAAAACCTCTTCCAAAGGAAACGCTTCCAGAGACGTGTTTACTTTTTTTAAATATCGCTGTGACAAAACATTAAAACACACAGATACTGACAAATTTAGCTAAAAACAAAAAATAAACATAGAAAAAAAAGTTGTTGTTTTAAAAAAAAAGGAAAAAAAAAAGAAGTTGACGAAGAAGAAAAAAAGAGATGCTATGGTTTTTTGTTTTTTTTAATCGTTACAAAAATGAACTGTCATCCTTTCTGGACCATTTATTAAAATGTATCTCACAAGTATCTTTTTTTACAAGGTTTATCAAGCCTGCAAGTTGATGATGCCAGACCCCCATTTTAAATTATCTAAAGACAAAGGAAAGATTGTTTCCATGTCTAACAGAAAAAGTGAAGTTGGAGGGTGAACGGTGAATCAGTGACACTAAGCTGCTGTGTTACTTGAAAGTAAAAACATCATCTACCAGCTACACGACCGACTGCACGTCTTTTGATGGTTCTATGTTCTTTTTTCATTAGGATATTAGGACAAAACTAAAACATAACTACCTCTGGGGAGTATGGCTTTGTTTTATCACAACGCTCACACCACATGCATGTAATTCTACACACTGACTACAAACATGAGCCTCAAGAGAGGCTAAGAGGAAGCACTTTGGATTTTGCTCTTTAACTCTTCCTTTTCCTGCTGGCATTAAACACATTTTTTGCATTTTAAAATCCCTGCTGAAGTAACAAAGGTGAAGCTCCTTCCTGATTTGTCACTTTTAAACTGTGAGTCAAGGGCATCCTCCAGAAATTGCTGATTAATTTGCTGATGAATCTAAAAGTTTTCAAACTGTTTTAAATTTAGTTCTATTCTTATTTAAATTTGGTTTAATAGTAATAATGCAAAAAGACCTATGAATCATAAACAAGCTTCAGCCAAACTGAGACTTATCTCATATGAACAAAAAAACCTTTGAGTTCCCTCCAGGAAAATCCTGCAAACATCTGCACAAATTATACCATTGATATAAATAATAAAATAACACAGCCGGAGATGGCAGTGATGATGAACTCTGAGCTACAGGAAGACTTCCTGCAGGGGGAGCTGGTGGTGAGTCCATCCCTGGGCAGGAGAGGAGGAAGAGCTACAGGGTGAAGTTTGGGGCTTCATGACACTCCAACCAGGAGACATGTTGAGCTCACAGAAGCGTCCGCCTGAGATTTCACCTGAAAGACAGTTGACAAGAGATCCAGGAGGTTTCTATGGAGTGGATCTTATTTATGCACCACCTGTTAAATGTAAGTTGTATATAATTTAAAATGTTACACTTGTAAGTAACTTTACTATTTCTTTTTGTTAACACCGGTATCAGCTTCTGATTGCTGTTTATCAGTTTTCCTTTGTCCCCTCAAAATGCACATATACAGAGCAAAACCAACCTATTGCTCAGCCAGTGGTATTAGACATCTATATCAATTTGAGTTCATAAAAAATGTATGTGTATAAAAGTAAGTATAGCAGTAACCACATATAAAGCCCAATAATCTCTTTTGCAGTTAAAAATGTCTGTTTTAAAAATATATATTTTTGGTTCATCTCCACCAGACATTGCATTTCTTTGCACTTATTACTTGATAACAGAATCAAAAGAAATAGTAATCCTGGGTAAGGACTAGAGGCCACATTCTTAAACTGGTCAGTATGGTCTCACTGCACTATTTGCTTTTCTAGTAAGCAAACTGACGTTTCTAGTTATCGTTTTTGTCCAAATGATGATTAGCAAGAAAGATGAACATTAGCAAGGAAAGCAACGTATTAGTGTTTGCTTAGTCTTTTACATACAAGTATGCTGTTTACCTGTTTAGTAGTATCTCAGTCAGCCTTACATGCTGCATGATTATGTAGTATTTAAGTGGCTTTACTGGCTACATGCAAACATTTTTGATATATACTGTAGGTTCTTAATCAAAAAGCAAGCAGCTTCACCACCCAACACGCCAGACTGTACCTTTACCAGGCCAGAGTTGTGAGGATGAGGATGAGGAAGAATAAGAGGAGGAGAGGAGTGAGGGAGGAGAAGGAGGAATGGGAAAAGGAGCTTGGTGCAGGGAAGAAATCCTGAGTTCATTCTCCTGAGGACACTCAGTAGGAGACAGGATAGAGGAGGAAAGGTAAAGAAAACAAACATCTTTTTCTAATGACCAAAAGTGTGAGGGACGTCATCATCCACCCACTTAGTTGTTCTTACTTATGGGAATACAACACTCATTGTGGATAATGATACCAAAACCAGGATTAATATGAGGCAACGAGTGAACTGACCTGTAAGTTGGTCTTGGCTTTTCTCAAGACATCGCGTGTTCTCAACACTGTAAAAAACAAAAACATACAATCATCATCATTTCTTTTTCTGACACAAACTGTAACAACGGTGAAAACATTACACATGACCATGATTACACATGATTACTGACAATACAAAGTAATCTCAGAGTCAAAATCTCAGGCTTCTCGTAAATGCTCCAGTTCAGACTCTATGAACAAGAAAGTCTTGCCATATGAGGCACCTGTGGCTCAGGAGGTGCAGCACATCATCACTAATCAGAAGGTTGGTGGTTTGATCCCCAATTTAAAAGTATTTTCCAAGTGCTGTTAAATAGAGAAGGATTTTTTTAAACACAGCTTTTCCAAACATTCTCGTTTTATTATGGATGCTTACAGTATTTTACTTTGGACACAGGAGCCAAATTATTTCGCAAGTTCAAAAGTGTTCGATGCTAATAGTCAAATGTGCATCCCTTTGCTGGATAACAGTCATTTGTTGTCTCACACACATCATCTTAGCAAATTTCTCAAGTTCCTCCAGATTTGATGGTCTTTTGCCATTAACCTTGGTCTTCAACACCCCACAGTTTTCAGTGATATTCAAAACAGGAGTTTGTGCAGGCGAGTCGATAATGTTCACTGGAAAACAAAGTGACAACCTAGATCGAGTTTTTCTGCCGACTGCTTGAGGTTTTCTTTCAAAATCTTCACATATGCTTCTTTCTTCATGATTTCTTACATTCTGACAATATTCCCACGTCACCTACCCATTGGAAGGTTGGTTGTTCGATGCCTGGCTGCTTCAGTCTACGTACATGCCAAATATCCTAACTTTGTGTGAATGAGGCAAGTTTTGTAAAGTGCTTTTAGTACTCAGGTGGAGTAGAAAAACACTATATAAGAAACAGTCCGTTTCCAGCCCCCTGCGTGTTTCACTGTAAGGATTGTGTTTTTGGGTTGTACGCCTTTTCAATCATAAGCAGGATGTGCTTCTAGTATATATAATCTTTCTCCAGGTTGTCCTGGAGTTTTCCTTGGGCTTAAGGGTAAAGTCATTCACTGGTATCTTGGCAGCTGTTCAGGGATCTTTAGATACACCTCTCACTAGTTTTCTTTGAATTTCACTTCCTACCTCCACCAGGCTTGTTCTGTACCGTGTGCCTCTCTTTGAACTCTCTCTTGTCACTCCAGTTCTTGAAAACACCATGTATATAGATCTCAGTTTTAACTTGATTTTACAAGCTTTGAGCACTGCATAGGTGAAAGACGTTATTAGACAGGAATAGTTTGTGCTGCATAAATAGAAATTTTGTATGCTTTATAAAAAAAAACCCAAGTATATTTAGAAATGCTGTGTTGAAAATCCCATCCATCCATTCGCTTCCGCTTATCCTTTTCAGGGTCGCGGGGGGCTCTGGAGCCTATCCCAGCTGTCATAGGGCGAGAGGCGGGGTACACCCTGGACAGGTCGCCAGTCTGTCGCAGGGCCAACACACAGGGACAGACAACCATTCACACTCACATTCACTCACACATTCACACCTAGTGGCAATTTGGATTATCCAATTAACCTATCCCCACAAGCTGCATGTCTTTGGACGGTGGGAGGAAGCCGGAGTACCCGGAGGGAACCCACGCAAACACGGGGAGAACATGCAGACTCCACACAGAAAGACCCCGGCCTGATGGTGGAATTGAACTCAGGACCTTCTTGCTGTGCGGCAACGGTGCTAACCACCGTGCCACAGTGCTGAAAATCCCTTTCTCTGTTAAAAAAGAAAATTTTGACAATAACTTGTATGAATGTGTGTGTGACTGGGTGAACGAGGCTTGTAGTAAAAAGCACCTTGAGTGCTTTATTAGAAATGAGAAAGTACCAGACAATTTATCGTTTCCCATACCCCTTTTATTGCCAGGTTTGGCATGCAACTCTAGCTGTGACCACAGAATAGCAATAGAAAAAGCCCACAATCTGTTCATACCAAGTGTAGCCAATAAAAAGAGACGAGAGCCTCTCTACACTTAACACATGGTTTTACATGTGCTATTAGAGTTTTTTGGAAATGTGTACTCACATTGGCTGACTATAAAGTGCTCCATGCTATCTTTGGTGCCGCTGGAGCTCTTGACTCTCTCCATTGTGTCCTTTAGAGCCTGTTCTTGCTCTGAGAGCTTCAGACGGAGAGAAAGGACCTCCTCCCTCAGAGACCGATCCTAAATAGCAAAAGACAGGTAGATGGCTCTCTAAGCTCTTGGAGATGCATACACTGACGTGCAGAACATGCGAGTACAACCTGAAATAACAAAGGCAGGTGCAGCAGTTGCAGTAAATGATACATTTTTGCATAAAATCTGTTTATTTACTCATATCCAGCTCCTTTAATCTTTGGGGAAAAGTTAATAAATCTTTTACTTCTAAGTAAAGTATGTGCAAAGGCACCTAACAGGGTTCACCTCACAGGGCCCAACTGTATCACCCTCATGTTTTTCTATCAGCAACAAGCTTACGTAGTGAAACTTACTCTGTGTAGGGTGGTGTGATTCTTTCTGAGAGCCTGAGGAAAAGGAGCAGGATCATTTAACCCTGACAGACGTTTAAAAAAATGATTTTGAGCTGAATGTTTCTGTTATATAAACTTCACATTTAATGGGAGTTGGATCTAAAAGTGGCAAATTAGATATATATATTTTTTTATATAGGTTTAAAACACTAATTGATTACATATTATAGCAGCAATGTAATATGTCAAAGTCTGCTTTTAATTGAGTTTTTTCAGTGATACAAATGCCCTCATCCAGTGTTACACTGGTCCTGTTGTAACACATTGTCTTGCATTAAACTGAACATTTTAGTCAATTTTAGTAAATACTTTTATCAAGAAATATTTTTTCCACTTCTCTATTTATGTATTAATGCTGAGAAAAGAAATCATGCGTGGCGAGAAAAAAAATAGTAATACAGTGATTTTGGTCTCTCGTTTTTACAATCCCAAATCAGATTTTCTCTGTGACACCAGGAAATACTTTTCTGACCTGTTGGACTTCCTCAGATTTGGGCAGAGCTGCTCTCCAGAACACGCGAAGCAGAGACTCAGCCTCATCCAGTATCTGCCGCAGAGTTTTAGTGTCCAGCAGCAGCTTCTGAACAGAACCCCAGTCTGAAAGCTGGAACACAAAATGCATGAAGTCAATATAATGTGCATTAATTATGAATATATTTATTTCTATTTATGTATGAGAGGTTTTCGCCAGGGCTGCGGCACTTGTTCGCGTCGCTTCTGTTATGAGAAAAAGTTATTTACAGACCTGACAGCACATTCCAGAGACCACCCCCCATTACAAGGCACTAATAATTTTTATCTTATCAGCTCTGGACTTTTATGAGGACCATAATTTAGTAAATGAATCTCAAGTTATATTGAATAAAAAGAGATTTGAGCTCTTACCTGATGAAAGGAGAACTCCTGTGAGGTGCTCAGAGAATAAAGAGCAGTCTCCATCTTAAGGAGGAGCGCACTTCCCTGGAGGATGTGCTGCTGCAGAACTTTGAAGTCATCAGTGTGGCCCACTGCATGGCGGCCATGACAGTTATAAAAACAGCCATCTGTGCGATGTCCATGCAGGGTTGAGCCTGCTGGAAAGGAAAACGAAAGAACTGTGTCCAGTGCAGTCTTCTCTCTATGGATTCACTTATTTGATTTAAGAGTACAGAAATCCCACATAAAAAAGAACCTTTAAATGCCTAAAGTTACAGGTTCAAACTTAAGCCAGGCTCAAGCCAGGAGGATGTGCAATAACCACACATTATCAGTGACATGAAGCAAGGAGTTATTATTTGAAAGAATTGTGGATGTGGACTCAAACATACACGGTTACTGTTATTTCCTTTTTTGCTCAGAGATATTGTTCCCCATAGCCAACTGCTAATAGTTTCTGGTTTCATGTAAAATTATTCACACTGAGGGATACCTGAACAAAGCTCGCAGAATAATGTTTTCATGCTTAAAGTTATGACTATTATGGGTAGGATTGCATAGTCACAGTGCAAGTGCTGCTTGAAATCTCTCACCCTGATCAGTTGCTCCAGTTTCTTCTGTGTGTTTCTGCATAGCATGCAAAGGAGAGGAAGGACTGAAAAGTCCAGTGTCTCTCACAGGTGGAGAGGGAACGCTATCTGTGGAGACAGATTCCCATCAGTACTGATTTAAAGTTTCCTTGTTAAAACATTTTTGTAATTGTAATGCTATGATCTGCCATATTTGTCAGGATTTTCAGAAACAGTCTATGTGTTTCAGATATACTGACCGCTGAAGAGCTGCCTCCTGGCTTGAGGCTGCGTGTCAGCTTCTCTGCTCAGCTGCTGCTCCAGCTGAATGTGCAGGTCTTTGGGATCAAAGACTGTTGTGCTGTCACTGCCTTGACCTGTTAGAGAACACACAAATATTGGTGATTAACAAAGAAAGTAGACAATCTGTGTGGGAGCGTGGGATTGAGAAAAGAAGCAGGTCCTCATTGTAACTTTAGAAAAGTGACACATTAGATGATTTTAACAAGGAATACATGGACCAGTTTTCATATTACTGCATTCCTAAACAGAAACATAATTCCAGCAGCCGTCTTTTACGAATGGCAGCTCATAGAAAAAATACCCACCTAGAAAATAGTGATTGATGCCAGTGGGGTTCATTCACTAATATAGGCAAAATTATTCAAACAAAATAAGTGTGCATGCAGAATTTTTGGTCTGATTAATGAAACATGTGCAATGTTTTTCTACTTTTATTTTTGAATGCTGTATGACAAAATATTCTGTGATATAAAGTGAAAAGGTTTGACATCAGAGATGATGTGAAGAAAAATAAGATAGCATAAGAAGGAAGCAGGTGGAGGAGATGAAGAGCCTCCAGCCCACTGGGAAGTAGCAAACTGGTAAGAAATGAATGCCATTGATGACATCCAGCCAATATGCAAGTCTTTTTAGTAAATGCAGCTTTATTATGCTAAGCATTTAGTGTTAGGTATATTAGCTAAAGCTCAATTGTTTATGTTGTACGTTACATTTAAATTCTTTATTGTTATTTAACTCTATGATTTTTTTTTACATTGTTCTGGAAAACAAACTAATTGCCAAAATAAGTTTAAAACATAAGACAGACTGGTATACATGTGGTCTGGGGAAGTTTTAAATTTGTTTATAAAGTATTTAAAAAAATTCATGTAGGAAAATACTGATGAATTCTCGATACGTGCGTGTTTCTATGCACTGTTTAAGCACAGTTTTGTGTGTGCACCATGTTTAGAATTAAAAATATTACTTCTAGAATACTTAGAGAAATTTTGCATTACTCATTTTCCTGCCCTGCGATAAATTGGCCACATGTCCATGGTGTATCTTGCGTCTTGACTGCTACTCCAGGACCACAATGTCTCTGAATTCAGTAAAGACAAATGGATGGATGGATGGATGGATGGATGGATGGATGGATGCTTTTCTTCACTACATCGAGTTAAAGCTGCTCACTGATCTGAACAGGCGACTGTGTGTTGATTCTTACCAGTGGGTGCATTTGTGGTGACTCTCCCCTTTTTGCGATACACCTGCAGCTCACACTGAAGAGAATGGACCAAACTGCGGCTCTCACAAAGCTGCTGCCGGAGAACAGTCAACTCATGCTGGAGCCTGAGGTATTTCATAAAATGCATGAAATCATGTTATTTATTACCTATGATTTCTTTAAGATATGTGTTTCCTTCAAAATCGTCCCACTAAAATGTCTAAAAAGTGTTAGACTCCAAGTATTCCAATGAGAGAAACAAACAGACTACCTGTTGACGGTTTCCTGGTTCCTCAGTCTGTCTTGTTTCAGGTGTAACATCTCCTGACTCTGAGCTTCAGCCTCAGTTTGGAGCTTCCTGGTTTGCTCTGCCCACTTCTCAGCCTCTAGCTCCACCTCCTTCACCCTGGAACGCTCCTGGAGCGCCACCTCCCTCAGCTGCTCTGCCTCCTTAGTGCTCTCTGCATGATACATAACAACAGAGCAGAGTGGATATTTTGATTTTGAACTTTTTTGTCTGATTTCAGGCAGGGACATTTAAGACTCACATTTACATTCTGAATATAAATAATGACTCTTGAGCTTATGACATGGTAGTAAACATTATACTGTACCTTTGGTAACCTGCTTCAGCTGATTTTGTAGACTAACATTTTCCTCTTTTAGAAGTCTAATCTCACTGGCAAGCTGGTTGACTGATTCCAGTCCCTGGATGTAAATATTGGTAGGAGCACCTTTGGAGGAGATAGAGACAGAGGAGTGAAAAATAATAAATAATAAATAAATAATGACAGAAAAAAACATCTTTGTAAATTCAATTTAAAGCAATAAAATTTCGATAACATATTTTGTCAGGACTAAATTCAATGCTTTTCAAAACTTTGAGCCCTGCAGATAACACGAACAGTGTGTTCATTTGTCTCTGTTACCTTTCTCAGTGGTGGTTCGGGCCAGTTTCTCCTCCAGCTGTTGTCGGAGACGGTCGTTGGTGTGGATGGAGTCCTCCAGTCTCTGCCTCAGACTCCTGATTTCCCTCAAGTGCTCCTTCATCAGGTCTGAACCTGTAGCAGACAAGCGAAGAGTGAGTGTCTGTTGTGAAATCACCAATCACGCTCACCTAATAAACTAATAAGGCAAGAAAAAGATCATTGTCAAAAACAGCGACTGATCACTCACAGCTGGCTTAACAGGAGACAATAAGCATATTTTTGTTTTTTGTTTTGTTTTTCATGCACTGGCTATTTTTGAGTATTTTAATTCCAAACATGTCTGGATGTGTGTTTAACTAAACCCTTTCAAATGTCATTGCATATTTAATCCATGTTCAATAAAACAAAACTTCTTATACATGATTTAAAATTTGAGATCATTTGCAACACAGTGCTCACAAAACATTTAATATGTTTCAGATCAATTTGATTTTATTTATAGCACTACAACAAAAGTTGCCTGAAGGTGCATTCACAGCCTGATGTATTGAATGCTTTGTTCGTAATACATCAGCACAATGAAAGAATAATTCAGAAGCCGAGCTTTTATTATATTCATCTGAAAATTCTGGAGTTTTTAAAACTTATTACAAACCTATAACATCTCGTCTTTGACCATTTTACAAACAAATATTCCAAACTAATTTCAGCTCAGTGTTATGCAATTCTTGGGTTTTTTTGGTATTTCTTTTAAGGCTATAAGAAAATAAGAATAAAAATGTGCTTTTAATGCCTCAGCTGAGGAAATACAGTTTAGACTAATTTACTACACAAGTTTGCTAAAAACTGATATTACATAAGCATACCCAGGCACTAGCGTCAGTAGGGAACTTGTACATACAAAACATTGAACAATTTTCTAAACATTTTTAACATAAACACCCAGAAATCAGAGAAATCATCGGGCACATTAAAGCTTTACCTGTGTGACTGTTGCCTGACTGGTACCCCGAGGATCCTGATGACAGGTCAGCTCCAGTTCTCACTGCTCGATTTCCATAGCTCACATCCCACAATGCACTGCTCTCCAGGAGGCTAGCCCCAGCTTTCATTGTCAAGCTGGCATCCAGACTACTGTTGCTAGCAGCACTGCTGAAAGGAGAAGGTTGGAATCCTTGGTAGGAGAGAGGCAGTAAGTCAAAGGAGTCCGGCTGCTGGTAGACAAATGGGAAACCCTGAAGCGGTTTGGCTTGAGGAGTAGAAAACCCTGCAGAGGATGAGAAGATTTAAGGAAACAACTAAAGGAAAAGCGGATAGCTTATATATTGCATAAATACATGGTCTGCTTTGTGTGTGTGTCTTAGAGAGACCAAGAGCAAGATGAAGGGATTTCTCCTGACATCGGGAGCAAGTTTGTTAATCAGCCAAATGAAATTTGTCTGGTTGGGGCTTTCTGAGAGCTCTAATGCCCATCGGTGTTTTAAGATCACAGCAAATCCCTCTCCAGCTGGAGGCTCTGGCTTCATTAAACATCAAGCGCAGAACAGTTGCTTAATGAGTAAGAAAGTACAGTGTGTTAAAGATAAAGGCAATGGGATGACAGGACAGTGAGAAGAAAGACAAAGGCAGTTGGGGAGAAATGAATTATTAAAGCTGGTCAGCTCCCTCTCTGCTTAACTACAAGAAGCCATCTTATAACTTTTATTATAGTGTACAATTCAGAGGCAACAGATGCTCAAGAAATTAGTAGAGTACAACTAAATGTAATGTAGATGGCTGTTGCTATCAAAGTTATGTGCTCTAATTATGTGATGCTCTTTATTAAGACACACAAAATGTCAGAAATTCAGGATCTGCAACCAAATCAGATCATAAAATCAGCCTTTAGCTGATCTAACAAATCCCCCACATATCTTTTAGAAAGTAAACAATACAAAGTAATTCATTTGCATCATGCCCCAGTATTTTATGGGGCACTAATTACCATATAATGCACCAGCACAAGCATAAATGCGGCCAATGACATCGCCATCTTATGTAGGTTATGTCATAGGGTCCAAAAAGATCCCCCGTAGAAGTCTAAATCATTTCTAATGATTCAGACTTCTGAAGCATTCAACAATTATTGAGTAATCGTTACTCTTAGGCAGACTAAATCCATTTTATTTCACCAGCAGCTGCTTAATTTTGAAAAGAAATTCAAAGGATTGTTTCTGGAAGGAATCAGTTCTTGGTTGCACACTCCATTGAATTTGTTAAGTTTAAAGTGGGTCAAACACAAAAGCATGCAAAGACATGACGCACTGCCTTTGTCTGCCAGCTGCCTTTGTAACATCTGCAGCTCCTGGTGCACCTCAGTCAGGGAGAAACCCATACCCCCACTGCTTTGGCAACGGGTTCGCAGGTTGGAAGGGCGAGGATGGAAGGGCAAGCGTGTCTTCTGGGTGGAGGAAGTGGGGGAAGTGTGAAAGGAAGTAGGGCTGAAAACTGAGACAGGAGCTGGGAGAAAAGGGGAAGGTAAATATGATAGACAGACACAAAAAAGCAAAGAATAAAGAAAGATACAGCAAGTAGCAGTTCCTATCTACATGAGCTGAAGGACATTTTCTGGGGTCCTTCCTACCTGTCTGACTCTGCATGCCTGTGTGTTGGGAGCTGGTGGATTGCATGCTGGAGCAGCTATGACAGGACTGGGTTCTGTGAGATGAGGTGATAGATGGAGGGATAGATGGATGGCGTGACACTGTTCCATGGTGACAATCTGGAAAGAAAAGTCATACACTGCAAAACACTGATTCTATGCATTTTATGATAAAGAGTTGATACTGCAAAGGTCAAATGGCAAAACTGCAGTGCGGGACTTGCTCCTTTTGTTCTGAAGAGCATTAAAATGATGGTTAATGCTCTGCTGGAAACAGGTCATCAATTGCAATTTCCTCACACATGAGTAACATTTGCATGGAATTACACAAATATTCATAATTGGAATTCCCTCTGGACTGTGTTGGTTAAAAAAAACACAAAGAAAAACACTCGTACCTGTGCTCACTTTGGCAGAAATCCGTGATTCATCCTGACCAAGCTCACTTGCAGCATCAACATCAGAGCTCAACTCCAGGTCCTCAATTGTGGATCCATGCTCATCGGACACATAAGAGATGCGATCTGATTGGTCGGTGGTATCAGAGAGGGCATGACCGCTGCAGGGTGTGTCAGAACGATGAGGATGATGGTGCTGCTGATGCTGGTTTAGTCTGGCACGGAGAGACTCAATGACCTTGTCCTTCTGCTGCAGCTCTTTACTGAGGCTGTAGGCACGTGCGCGCATGCACACAAACACACACACACACACACATTTTATTTACCATGGTCAATGCACAATACATTTATCGTGTCAGATATAGCTAAAATGTAATTCTCCCAAATTATTAGGCCACAAATAATGTGCAGATAACACTCTATTAAATCATCATAAAACCATAAAAGGATTTATAGCCCCCCCACCCAGACACACAAAGAGAAACACATGCACAATTTAAAATGAAAGGCAAAATGTTTAAAAGTACTGAACCCTGATTTCTGTGTGCTGAGGAATCTGAGAGTAGTAGCTGCATGAGTTGTGTCCATGTGACTTAAAGGATAAGTATTATTAAGTAGTGCTGTACCAGGTGTGTGAGTCACCTGCCTGCTCTTCTCACAAAAGGCTTTGCTGACTGCATCGTGTTGCTTTGGGGAAGCCTCTTAGTGACTAACACATACATGACACTGCATCAGATCAAATGTGTAAGAATCTAGACTGACATTAAACAAGTCACACACACATTTTTTGGAAAGCTATGTTCAATTTCACTAGCCACACTCAGGCCTGATTACTGCTACACCCAGTGAATGAAGAAATAATTTCAACAGAACCTTTGTGACAAAGTGAAGTAACAAAGTCATTGACATCTATCAGTCTTGTGAGGGTTAGGAAGTCATTTCTACGGCTTTGGAACTCAGACCCATGGTGCTCCACAAATGGATAAAGTTGGAACAATGGTGAGCTTCCCATAAAATGCATTGATGGAACATCCAGGAAGTCACAAAATAACCCAGAACAATATCTAAAGAACTGCAGGGCTGACCTGGCTCAGGAATGGAGGAAGGTCAGGTTCACAATTCAACAGAGGCTCTGCAAAAATGGCATTCATGCGAGCGTTCCAAGGAAAACAACTGCTGACCAAAAAGAACACAAAGGCTCATCTCATATTTGCATCTTGATGAGCCTCAAGACTTACAGAAAAGAGATTCTATCGACAAGCTGGACTTTGGATACAACACTAGTAACCATCACCTTTGGGCTGAGCTACTCTCTTGGGCTCTGCCTGCAACCCATTATCCATCAAGACTGCATACTGTCAGACGCTTTGCCTTTACTTAAGCAGCAGTACGATCTCAAAAAAGAGGGGAAATACCTCATGCACAAGCATTTAACCACACAGCATGCAATTAATTTGCACAAATGTAATGTCTTTGATATGCTGCTTCGCTACTTGGTGGTGACTCTCAAAGTGGAACCAATGAGAACCAATAATTGAATCGATAAGGAATCGAATGGATAAATGATATCAATGATGGAATTGTAATTGCTGAATTGGTATCAAGTCCCATCTCTAACTGCACCTCATGGTCAGTTGTCAGAACGATTTACCTGTTCAGCCACAAGGACCTTCCTGCTCACAGATGGCTTCACTCCTTCTGCTCGCCTCCTTCCGACTCACTCCCGTGAAACTCTCCACCCTCCACTGTGCTCGACTCCTCATTTCTGGAACCCAATCTGTCAACATCAGCTAATGCTACGTCTACCTGTTCACAGACCCTTTCTCACCGCTGATGTTGAATGAAACTCCAGCTCACACACCCTCGCTGATCCTGAACTATATAAGCAAACGTTTGCCCTTCGTCTGACACTGTTCATTGGGTTTGGTATTAATGTAATCATGACAAACACAGCATTTCATAAAAAGAATGCCACACCATTAGGAAAACACTGTGGTGTAATGGTGATGGATGGAGGTTGGTTAAAAGGATGGATGGATGAATGGATGGAAGGTTTAGGAGGGCTCCAGGGTGCAGCTACTTTCCCACATGGTTCCATTTAGGTTTGCATAGCTTTTTCCATTTAATAAATGAAATCATCAACTGGGCAGCATGGTGGCACAGCGATTAGCAATTGCCTCACAGAAAGAAGTTCCTGAGTTCAACTCTGCCTTTCTGTGTGGAGTTTATATGTTCTTTGTATTTCTGTAGGTACTCTCCAGGTATTTTGGCTTCCCCCCACAGTCCAGAGACATGCAATTAATGGGGTTAGATTAGCTGGTCGTTCTAAATTGCAAATAGCTTTGAATGCCTTGCAACAGACCATGATCTGTCCAGGGTGTACCCTGCCTCATGTTAGCTGGGATAGGCTCCAGCTCCCAGCAACCCTGCTAAGGATGAATCATTTAAAAGCTGCCCTTTGTAAAGGGGGCAAATATTTTTTCACAGCACTACACATCTATGCCTGTACCAGAAAAATAACACCTGCAGGGCTGATACCTAATGGCAGTCAGGGTGCTGATGTCCAGCCTGTGGAGGTCTGCGTGTCCCTCCAGTGATGTGTCTTTCCAGACCATCACTGACCTACCACCAATATCTCTCACATGTGCTCAGGGTGAACATGCTCTCATATTTGAAAAACACAGGGTCCTAGTGGTGGACTTGCCAATTCTGTATTCTATGGCAAATGGAAACCGGGCTCCATGGTGCTCAGAGCTCACTAGTGGACGTCAGGCCACCCCCGTGACTCTATCCAAATGTGAAACTAGTGAAAGAAGATGGATAAGGAGGGAAAAAATGCCAGAGTCCTACACAGATGTTATTAATTTAATTAACACCAAAACAACTGAAACTGAATAACAACACCTTCTCCTACATAACTGACCAAAACAATATCCAAGACGTTTTACTGACTTGATGCTATACTCTGATTGAAAATTATTCTTTTACTTTTTTTGAGCAGTGTAGATTATGAATATTACTTTACAAAAACCACAAGTTACCCTTTTTGAAGTTCCTTTTTGTCTTTGGTAAACTACAGACGAATTCAAGAAATAGCCAACCAAGTGGATTAGTAAGGTGCTGGAAGACTAGAGCTGCTAGAACAGCCTCGGTCCATCTTAGCACTGATTGTCCAAGCCTGCTGAACTCTAATGAAAGAATGGAAGAACTCTAACACGCTGGTCAACAACCATCAACAACAATCATCTGGGATTAGATTTGGTGAGTGTGAAGGGCACATTCATCAGAGGATGAAGGCGAACACCCAGAACAACAAATTGACCTCTTATGATAGCACTAGTCTGCCAGTTTCCCTCACTTCAAACATTAACTCTAAACAAACTAGATGCTTTGCTCATATAGTTAATGCATAAACATGACTGTAACTGAAATAACAGAAGCTTGTTATACTGTTTCAAATTGATAACATGTTTCTTTTTTTGTGCTGTCTTACTTGTCGAGCTGTGTGAGCATTGCTCTCCTCTCCCTGTCGGTGTGTTTCTTCAGCAGCAACAGCTCTCTCTCCTGAGCTTTCCACTCCCACAGGGAGAAAGAGAACAGAGAGTCTCTGTACAGTGGGCTGCTTTTAGACAGCATGACTTTCCACAGAGGAGCCATCACCCACCCTCAGTCACCCTCCGCTCCTAACACCCTCCACCTGGGTGAGCGACCATGCCTCCTCTGTCTGCACCGTTTCTATTGAACTCTGCTGCAGTTTGTTCTTCTCTGCTGGGTCTCCAGAGGTAACGGAGAATGGTTCACTGGCATAGATGCAGAGATTCCCAAAATGTGTGTGACAGAAGGTATATTAGACAGGTAGGGCATAACACAGCAGGAGAGACGACAGAGTGCGCGGGTGATAAGGTGAAAAGCATAGAAAATCCTCATTAGGTTTGGGCTTCCCAGAGAGGGTTGTGGGTGTGATCAACAAATTGAAATCAGGGGTAATTGAAAAAGAAGAAGATAAGAAGATCAGCAGAAATGTAAAGGTTTAAAAGTGGAAACAAATAAATTACTCCACTCCCTGAGGAAATTCTACTCTCCTGTACACTTTTCCTTTTCTGATGCTGTTGCTCCTAGGTTCACGACCGCTTGAATAATTCCCTGAAAAGAAAGCCTCTTGTTGCTGCTCTTGACACAGTCTTTCACTCCACCAGCAAACACACAGCTGCAGCAGCAGCAGGCCTGAGGCAGAGATGTAGTGACGAAAGAGTAAGAAGGAAACAGAGCTATGCATCTAAATCAAAGTCCAGATCCTGAGGGCTTATATGTTCATGCTCCAGCAACCATCAGAAAAAAAAACAGCTGAATGAAAGATCACCCACAAAGCATTGCTCCTTCTTTCTTCTGCTTGCTGATATGTTTTCTAGCCACACCAGTCTATCCATAAAAACATGTAAGCATCATCTTAGCTGCAAAAATGCAATCACAAAATGAAAATGGTTTTCTTTTCAAGGTTTCAGAATATAACAAGTATCCTCCACTTAAAAAGCTTCAGGTTGAAAGAAAAATCCCTTATGCCCAGCCTTCTGTCCATGAACACAAAAAAATCCAGGTTTCTGGTGAGTAAATCTTACATAACAGAAATCGGTGCTCTGCTGGATGCATAGTGCCACGCGCTGCTCCTGATACACTGAAGCAAAGTGACGCTCTCTCTGACGGGCTTCATCGCTCACGTTTTCTCTCTTTCTCGCTCACTCCCTCTGTGTGTGTGTGTGTGTATGCGCGTGCGCACGTGTGTGTCTGTGTGTTTAGCTCCTCTTGACCTATTTCTGTCCCCATTTGAGGTCTTAATAACTTAACCTGATTAGAGGGCATGCCCTGAGCCAAATGCAGCAAAAAGCCTAAGCAGTATTACGCTATCAGTGCAGTCACTCATGTCATGTACTGTACATTTGGCCTGCTGTCCATGTTATGTAGATACTGTTGTCAGAAAAACAACCCCAAGTGTAAGTTCTTATTACCTGTGATTACACTTTAACAACTTACAGCAGCCATGTGCATAAGACCATGCAAAATATGTACTAGTGTCAACGCCTATAAATTGGTGGAACCTGACAGCCTGGCAGGAAATTCATTTTCTAATATGAGTTTAACACTGTAAAAAAAAAAAAGTGCTGTATTTTGAGTGAAAGTGGTTTTAAATAAACACAACATAACGCTCCCTTCCAGCTAACATGGACAATGTTTTTAAAGGCAACCAACTTGTACAGGATTGTCATGTTGGTTCAGGGATGGTAAATATAATTGGTTTGTGTTTTTCTGTGTTGTTCTGTTAAAAACCGTGTAGGTCAGTATTTGCACATACAGATCCATTTAAAATACTGAATAGTCATCAGGCAATTAGTGGTTTTTTTAGATGCCATTTTAGCAAAAATGCCTGAAACTTTGCGTGTTTAAACATAATCGTACTTTAGTAGCTAAAATAGATACTGTAATTTATTCTGTGTTTATTGCACATTCTATGACGAGGGTTCTGGATCCCTGAGGCATTGTGCTACTTTCAAAGAAACAAAATCAGTGGTAAACAACACAATTTTCACACATCTCACCTGTTTTTCTTGATATAAAGAAATCTGTCTGATTATTCATGCATTTACAAGCTGACACACATAACTGACCACACCGTTCAACAGTTCAGTGCAACCCCATACACACTGTATGTACACTCGTAACCAGGGGGAAGGCTAAATTTCTGCCACAGAAAACACACTCGCTGATTCTCCTTCACATCTGGTCAACCATCTGTGCTGGAATAACACGCTGGCAGATTACTGCAGGCCTCCCCCTGTTTACGTCTCTCTGAGGACGAGCTCTAATTATTCATATAGCACTGTTTGTTTTTCGAGATTTGACCCAGCGCTCACTTTTATCCAACAGCAGTGGTGGAGCTCTAAAGACCAAGCCAGCGTTTTAGTGTGTTTACGGTAATTGACTGAAATTCATGTAACTGTTCGTACTTTTTAATGAGCATTAAGTATTTTTGTGACAGATTTACAGTCTGTGCTTTTGACCTCTCGGGCAGCCATGTGATTCTTTTCTTCTCACTCATGCATGAAAATCGAAGAGCTGTGTTATGAAACAAAATTCAATGTTGTGTTACAAGTGATTGAACATCCAGGACATTCATTGCTCAAGCAAAAGAAATGAGCTGCCAAAATCTGTGCTTATAGCTTTTGCTTAATGGAGCCTTGTAAAACTGTGTTCTTTCATCATAAAGCTGTGATGATACATTAAATGGCATTGAACACACTAATCAGGTGCCTGTGTGTTACAAATTCTTTAAACTAAACAGCTTTCTGCTGAAGAAATATTAACGATTTGTACTTGCGCTTGAGGATTATTAAAGAGAAACTAAGATTTTAAAAGCTGGACATTTGATCAGCAGCACTGTGTCAAATTAAGGCCAGTAACCAGATTCTGGATGGCATTACCTTGGCCTCCAGTAACACTGTGAGGAATATTGGGGTAATTTCTGACCAGGAAATGTCCTTCAGTGCACATATTAAACAAATATGTAAGACTGCTTTCTTCCATTTGTGCAACATCTCTAAAATTAGAAATATCCTGTCTCAGAGTGACGCTGAAAAACTAGTTCATGCATTTCTGTAATTCATTATTATCAGGATGTCCTAAAAACTCGCTGAAAAGCCTTCAGTTGATCCAAAATGCTGCAGCAAGAGCACTGACAGGGACTAGAAAGAGAGGGCATATTTCTCCTGCATTGGCTTCCCTTCATTGGCTCCCTGTTAAATCCAGAATTGAATTCAAAATCCTGCTCCTCACATATAAGGTCTTAAATAATCAGGCCCCATCTTATCTTAATGACCTTGTAGTACCATATCACCCTATTAGAGCACTTCGCTCTCGCACTGCAGAACTACTTGTTGTTCCTAGAGTATTTAAAAGTAGAATGGGAGGCAGAGCCTTCAGTTTTCAGGCCCCTCTTCTGTGGAACCAGCTTCCAGTTTGGATTCAGGAGACAGACACTATCTCTATGTTTAAGATTAGGCTTAAAACTTTCCTTTTTGCTAAAGCATATAGTTAGGGCTGGATCAGGTGACCATGAATCCTCCCTTAGTTATGCTGCAATAGGTGTAGGCTGCTGGGGGATTCCCATGATGCATTGAGTGTTTCTTCTTCAGTTACCTTTCTCACTCACTATGTGTTAATAGACCTCTCTGCACTGAATCATACTTGTTATTAATCTCTGTCTCTCTTCCACAGCATGTCTTCTATCCTGTCTTCCTTCTCTCACCCCAACCAGTAGTGACAGATGGCCCCGCCCCTCCCTGAGCCTGGTTCTGCTGGAGGCTAAAAGGGAGTTTTTCCTTCCCACTGTTGCCAAAGTGTTTGCTCATAAGGGTTCATATGATTGCTGGGGTTTTCACTGTTTTATTATTGTAGGGTCTGCCTTACAATATTAAGTGCCTTCAGTCGACTGTTGTGATTTGGTGTTGTATAAATAAAACTGAATTGAACTGAATTGCAGCAGGAAGTCAGACTTGACATAGATTGTAAGAAAAAAAAAGGACAAGAAAATGAACAAGGCTGCCGAGAGGAAGTGGAATGTTCAGCTTTTAAAATCTTAGTTTTTTCCCCCAGTAAACACAGAAATACATGGTTTTGCTGACCCTTCCCAACTCAGAAATATGTAGCTTTCAATTAGTTCTTATAACAGCTTAGACTGGTCTTAAATACAAGGAACTTTAGTTTAAAAACTCACCATTAAGCATTATAAATGTATAACTCTATTTTAATACACAGAACAGCTACTAACTGTGATGGCATGGATTTATATTTCATTTCATGTCAGAAAGGAATGCAACTTCTTATAATTAAGCTTGTCTGCTTAAACAGGAAAATATGTAGTTATTTTAGATTTCATATTTTAGTATTGTCCTACATTCTCCTGTAATGTTAATGGAACAAGCTGCGATTTCTATAGTTATTTCATTGTTATGTAATGTAAATATATCTTGTGTATTGATAGGCTTTAATCTCTAATGTTGTATTGTGTAGTATAACAACACAATACAGCATTAGAGATTAAGTATCACCCTGAAGGTGCATCAATGTGGTATTTGAAAATGCGAAAGCTGAAAAATGCAGAATGACAATATGGTGAATTACGCCATTTTTCACATTCAGTATTCAGTATAATGTTTGAGATTGACCAAAAACATTATAGCCCCCCCCCAAAAAAATTTTTATTTTGTGTAGCTTAACATTTTTGGATCACAATAATTGTGAAGTGGAATAATGGAATATAATTAATTTTTACACACACACACACACACACACACACACACACACACAGACACACACACACACACACACACACACACACACACACACACACACACACACGCACACACACAAAGCTGTAATGAGGACTGACCGGATGGCAAGTAGCTCTGTCTTATCTGGGTTTTCGGAACAATCTCCTGTTTGAAAACAAAGAAAGAGCATCAATATCATTAACTGTTATCTGCACTCCCTGCTCATGAGAAATCCATGGTGTCGTTTGTACTTTCTGAGACTTCGCATCTGGTCTGATTTTAAGGCTGTACAATGAAACAACAAAAACAGACTCACTTCCACCAAATTTGGCATTAACTCTCTGTGCCAGAGCACTGCTCTGAGCTAACTGATCCCTGAAGCTCTGGCCCATGTAGTAGTCGATGTCGTTGGCTCTCAGCAGCTCCTCAAACGCCTTGGTTGTGTCTCCCAGGTGCTGGGTGAGGATGCTGCACACACCCTGACCCTCTCGTAGCCGCTGGCGGAGGTGAGACAGTTCTTTGGCCTGAGCCTGGATCAGCGTGTCGAATTTTCTGCACAATGAAAAGAAAGAAGAATGTAGCACACCTGACAATGTGTAAAATAATACCTGAAAGCTTTTTTGCTTCTTTTATTGTTTGGCGCTGTCTCATTCCATGGTGACAGTTTGGTTCTTCTTCCAGATCTTTGCAAAGTGGTGGTGCATCTAAACAACTTTTACTTGTACTATTTGAAATGAAGATCTTGAACTATGCAGTTGTTTACAAACAGCTCCAAGAGACCTTTCCAACTGTAAATCTACAGTTCTTCTTAAAAGTCGTTAAAGATGTAATTATTCAATCATTCAGAACCCAAAGTTATCCTGATATGCTCATGCCCGTTGCTCACACCTGCTCCTAATTTCTTTGGACTTACTTCCTATGGGGGAAAGATTTCTCTATATATTTTACCTGAGTCAGTGTCACAGTGTTGGAACTGAAGCTTCACTGAAGCCACACAGTTTATTCATAAATGGCAAATGGGGCAGCATGTTCCCAACCTCGTGTTAGTTAATCCCCTCACTGTCAGGCTGCCGAGTTTACATAAAAGCATCTGTGGTTACACTTGATTACTAAAGCTTGATACTGACAAGCACTGTTTAAATGGGTTTTTGCTCATTTTAGGCAATTTCTGTCAATCAACCCCCCCCCCCCCCCCACCCCCCCACCCCTCAACCCCCCACCCCAGCGAGTCCATATTATGATTTTTTGTAGTGTCTTTTAAAAATTATTTTCCTGGTTTATTTCACCATAAAGTTACCAATAGATACAATTTTAATATATTTGCTATAATAAAGCTATAATGAGCATTAAGCTATTAACATTTTAAAATGTAATACATGTACAGGACAGGCTGAGCATAGCTGTGGATAGGAATTTTAAAAAATGTAGAGGAATGCTGTATAAAGCGCTTTATTCAATTCATCATTATCAGATGAAGGATTTTATTAATGGCATTCAAAAGGAAAATAATCAGTAAAAGACTGAATTACTGAAATTTACCTATATTTGACAACAATAGTAAAAGTTTGATTTAACCAAGTCAGATTTGAAAGCTTGTAGCTTTTTAATGAAGATATTCCTATTCTTCTCCAACAAACGACTGAAATTGGTGATGGGCACTGGTTCTTTGTCTGACAACAGAATTGATCTCTATGCCTCAGGAATTTCCGGAATTTTACATTTTTGGACTACGACAGCTTGGCGTTGTCTGAGGTTCTGCAGAAGCAGACTCTTCCTGGCACTATTTAGGGTAAAAAAGCAGCCACTCTTGAACTGTCAAATAATCTGTTTATATTGATCTGGTTTATGTTCTTGGTGTTGGCACAAACACTCATTGTGTTGAACTGGAAACAAAAGAAACTACTATCCCACCCCACCAACAAAGAAAAGAGTTAGAAAAAAAGCAAAACAAACAAAAAACTGCATCGCAACGTCTTTCTTACCCTGGCAAGGTGGCAGACACTCCATCCTCTGCCGCAGCCTTCTTTCCACCTTTCATCAGCTGGTCCTCCAGTGCATCTACACGAGAAGCAAGCCTCTCTAGGTCCTTGTCTGGGTGATGGGGTGAACGTAGTTGACCTCCCTTAGATGACTGCCAGCCCTCATTATCCTCTGCCTGGCTCTGTGAAGCTGATGTCTGGATGGACCAGTTGACCTTGTGGGGTATCGAAGGACCATATTCACTAGAGGTAGAGAGGGAACGGAGGCGGCTCTGGAGCCCGGAGATCACTCCCTGGGAGCGGGATAGCTGTGAGCGGAGGTCCTTAACAAGGTGCTGGAGAGAGGAGGCCTCGTTACCATAACCGCAGCTCTGGGTGGTGGTTTTGTCATTGCTGCTGACAGGCCACCATTGGGAACCGCATTCCAGAGACGTACACATTTCTAGGTCATCAAACTCTGTCAGGAAACATACAATGCGTTCATCAGATTCAGACTCTGTTTCCTGTGAGTGACACTGAAATATATGATTGAAAAAACAAAGCATCAGTAACATCAGTTAATGTCATCTTAAGGCCCATAGTCTGGGGTACTTTAAAATTATGAGATATGTGTATAAAACCTAGTAGCAGACTACCCTTTCATCCAAATACAACTCTGGCTCTCAAAAACATTCATGGCGATCACTCAGAGTAGCTTCTATTGATTTGATTTCCCTCTAAGGGGTCAATGAAAACCAAACCACAGTATAATAGAGCAGCCAGGAACTCTCATTTTACAGGCCAAGGCTTCAGGTCAAAGTTTTGACTAACCATCGAGCTTTTAAGCTGGGAATGCAAACAGTGCTGAGTAGAATGCACTGGACCGTGAAGAGAAGGCTACTGTTTGGCACAAAGGCTGCACTTGGCTGCCCTCTGCTGTTTCTATGATACCCCGACAAATAACACTGACGAGATCAATTTCAGGATATTTACGGACATTGTATGACTAGAAACAACTCTTAATAAAACATTAATCAGAATTGAATGACATTACTGATATAAAATTCAAAACAAAGGGTCTCAAAGAACCACAGCGTCTTTTATATGGTGATAATAATACACACCGGGGCTGCTGGTTTCTTCTCTCTCAGCTTCATTTTCACTGCGGCCGCAGGTCTCATAGCCCAGATCCTGGAGGTCTACCTGGATCTGTTTACTGTCCTGCTGCACTGCTGTCTCTGCTGCAGGGATACAGAAGAAGAAGAAGCTTTATTTCATTATGTTTGACACTGCTGGATCTACTATCCTCGTCAACTTCATAGCATTTTTTGGACCATTTTGAGGTCTTATCTTATTATTGACATCACAAATTCAGTATCACCGCCACATTTGTTAAAAGGAAAAGTGCGAAGTTTGTGTCCACTCACTGAGCAAGTCCCTGTAGTCTTTGAGCTGCTCGGCCTGAGCCTGCACTGTGGCCTCAGAAACCATTAGCCTCTCCTGCAGCTCTTTGCTTTTCTGCTGCAGATGAACTGCCTTCTCACAAACTGCAGAGGACGCAGTGGCCTGTTGTGAATCTGCGAACAGCTCGCCACCCAGGTCATTGTACTGGTTACAGACAGGGAGGAAAGATCGTGACTGTCAAAAACAATTTTAAACACCAAGTGTGGCTTTTAAATTGATACTTTCTTGTTTTTAATTTACACCACACCTTACAGAATGGTGCAATAATAGTATATTTAGGATCCTCCCACCTGTGACGATTTAGAGTCCAGTGGCAACGTCTGATGTCTGCTGGCTCTCCTTTTCCTTTGTTCATCATTGCTCTGGCTCTTGGCCTGGGACAGGCAAAGCTCTCCTTCCCAGGCATCCCACAGTTCAGAGTTTTCCTCCTCCTCTTCTTCTTCTATGGTCACATCCAACTCATTTTCATCCTTGTCTTCACCATCCAGTGCATTTTGCTCATCACTCTGTTCACTGGCACACTCCAACCCTCCATTCAGATGACGCTTTACTTCTTCATTCTCTACCTGCAAGCTGAACAGAGCTTTCCTGTAACAGAGGGAGGTTACAATAAATAAATAGATAAATAGCTATATAGATAGACTCTACTGTCCTCTAGTGGCCAAGAATAGATTAGTGTTGTCAGAAAATAGTAAGCTAATTTCAGCTTTGCCAAAAGGTGTCGCTATGTGTAGCTCCACAGGCTTTGATTTGACAGAGTTTACACCAGATGCCCTTCCTGATTAACTCCAACGGCGATTTGTGTCTTCAGCTGGAATCATATGCATTAACCGTTACACTACTAGAGACAAAACAGACTAATTTGGAGTTTAAAATCTCAAAAAAATGACCTCATCTGTGATACTGAAGAGAATCCCGCTTTCTCCAGCTGAGCCTTCAGCTCTCCCAGCTCTCTCTCAACCAGCCTCTTCTGCTCCACCAGCTGCTTGACTTTGATTAGCCCCTGACTTTCAAGCAGCATGCCGTGGGACAGATTCTTCTCTGGACCTTCAGAACGCTGTACACACGCAGAAGTAAATGAATCAATAATTCTGATCAAATGATTAGAAACAGTACATTGTGCATAATATTTATTCTGCAGGATTTATCTGTATAAACAAGATGAACAATAACAGCTGAAGGTTGCTCTCATACCTTGGTGTCGGTCTCTTCTTCGTCGATGCTTTCAGTGTATTCAGTGTTCAAATCATCAGCCTCAACATCATCCTCAGCGCTCAGCTCTGCAGGAAGCAGACCAAAGACAACCAAATCAGAAGAAGATCAATCTGCTTTTTCTTTTACTTCAGTTTTGAGCATTTCAGAAGTTTTACAACTGAGTGTGAGACCATCACTTGCTCAATTCTTCTAATATTATTCACCCTCAGAATCATGCTGGTAATTTGTAGCACAGCCTTGTCTAACAGTCTGAGTGTTAGGCTGTATGAGTTTGATTTTCTTGTTTATTGCACTCTGCTGTAGTTTAAAGGGGATTACACTTAAGCCCTAGAATGGGATCCCGGGGATAGTCATATAGAGTTTAATCCAGAATTTAAAACCAGCGAGAAAGACTTAAAAGACGGATGGAGAAGGCTTAAAAATCCCTGAAGATGACAGGATGTTGAGTGTTCTGAGCCTTGGAAATAAAGTGGTAGCTGACAAAGAGCTAAGGCAGGACTGCCTCACAGTCTATGTTTAAGATGAGTTACTGTTATGAAGACTGGTAAAAAGTAATTATTCATTTTAATATTGAATTAAAATAATGGAAGAAAACTGTATTTACCTCACCAGTAATGATTACTAGCATTACCACAATGTCTGTATTTGCAGATATAAGTAAACAATTATATATTAAGGTATCGGTATGCAAATTTACTAGTATCCAGATCAGATACAGGGGCAGGTTCCTCTTATGTGATTGATGTTTATGTCTATTATTTCTTGATAAATAATGAATTTAAAAAATTAAAGATAAATAAATGTGACCTTGGCATCAACTTAAGCTCTATATGCTAAATTTCAAATTATGACATTTATGCATATTAGTCAGATGTTTCAGTCTGACACATTTTCACTCAGTGAGGGGGAATGAAGGAGAGATTTTCCTCTGAAAGGTGGACCATGTGCTTGTGCCACTGTGTGTTTTACGTGAGTTAATACTGAACATTGCACATTAAAGAAGGAAAAAAAGGAGAATTTCAGCTTTCGCAAGTACTAAAGTAGAATAATCTGAAACCTCTGAAATCACAAAGGCATTAATCAGGTACAGTATGTTTATTATTTATTACAAACCACTTTGAAGGGTGTTTGGCTCTGGACGGGGAAAAATTCAAGGAAAAAGGTGCAGAAATGCCTACAATGCAACAAATGTGGCTTCTCGTGGTGTCTGTGCAGACGCACATATATTATTCAGTTTGATACTTCATACTTACTGTGTTCTAGTGTGACATTCGTTCATTTAACAACAACAGCAACAGAGCAACTGGACCAGTAGTTGTTGGAATGCACAGAAGCAAACATGCAAACTAAATATACACAGTCACTGTACTAAACACAATGTGGAATGTGCTCAGATTTCCATGATTCTCAGACAGCATGTGACTTGAGTTAAGTATACAGAAATCTCAAACTTGCTGCAAAAAACATGCAAAGGCACACAAACACCATCATATAAAGGTTACATTCTGAAGCGCACACTACCACAATATTTGCAGTTATAATCATAATGATGATGTGTTATTCAAAACATTAAAAATTAAATGCCTTGCTATCATTTACACGCAAAAGAAGCAGCACTAATTGTGCAAACTCACAATAACTGCACTACAACATTTATAAAGTTATTAAACAAGATGTTCTTTTTTGGGACGCTACAAGCTCAGATCAATATCCATCCGTCCGCTTTCATCTACTTTCCATGTTAGTATTTTCACACCAAAGAGTTGCAGCTGATAGATTTATGGTACATATCCCATCACCACAGTGCAGTAAGCCATTCTACAGTCACCGCTCCCCAGTGCTAGAAGTGCTGCTGTTACAGATACTGTCCCATGCTTCTCTGGTGCCCACCTCCAAAGTCAGGCTGCCTGCTGTTAGGCCGGTCACGGCCTAGGACAGGGCCTCTCATTGGAGGGCTATCCTCCTGACCCAGTCTCTCCCGCAGCTCCTGGACCTCCTGGGTCAGTCTTTCCACCAGAGGGAGCCCTGAAGGATCCACCATCTGCCTCTGAAAATCCTGCAGCACAAACAAACATGAACTCACACGCATAGAACTCATGACATGTATATACATACAAGCATAGGCAACATACACACACTATCAGCTTATTAGACAAGAGGTTCTACTATACTCCACAGATACCTTCTGTATTCTCACACACTAACCCTGATGATCTCCTCCTTCACATGCAGAGTCCTGTTGAGGGAGTCTAGCCTTGCAGTCTGACTCCTGGTAATTTCTTGACTCTCCTTCTCCCTCCTTAGAGCCAGAAAAAGCTCCTCCTGCACTGCCTGAAGCTCCAAAGCCAAGTCTGCTCCAAAGTCAGGCTGTGATCCAAAACCTGAGCTCAGCTGTTTGCGAAGTTCCTGGAGTCTTGACTTTTGCTCAGTTATGACCTCACTCAGGCGGACTGCAGAGTCCTGGAGGGAGAGTGTTGTCAGGTTTTCTGTATATTCAACCTTTTCTTTTCACTCTCGGATTTCACATGCTTTATCTGCTCTACCTTAATATACTGGTCTCTGCTGTTGATGCTTCTGAGGAGATCCTGAACTTCCTTCTGGTGCTCCTGAGCTTGATGGGTCCGGTCAGCCAGTACTTCCTGGAAGAGGCGGTCTTTGAGGTGGAGCCGGACCTTAAGCTCTTCCAGAACATCACCTGGAGCAGACTGGATCTGAGCCAGCAAGGAGCAGCGCAGATCCTGCAGATGAGATAAGAAACAAGAATATACTTATTGGTTAACACGATCCTGGGAATATTTCTCTGCAGGAACATATGTTACTCTTCCTGCCGATCTCTCTCTACCTGAGCCTCCTGTGTGCCAGTGTGCAGTGCCTTCTGCAGCTGGTTGATGATGGCATCTCTCTCTCTCAGGATGCAGCTCTGCCTCTCCTCACTCTCCTGCTGCTGCCTCTGGACGTTCCTCCAGGCATCACACACCTGCTCTAGCTCCAGAGCCTTACCCCGCAGCAGTACTTCCAGGCTCTGATACAGACACAAACATTCCAATAAGGAAGCAAGATGAGGCAACATACTGCCAAGAAAAAAAGATGAGTTTATTTTGTGTGTCCTCTTACAGTGATGGTCTCCTCATTGCTGGCCAGGACGCAGCGCTGTCTCTCTAGATCTCTCTCCTTTTCTCTGAGCAGCAGCTGCAGGCGACGAGTCTCCTCGTCTTTCTCCTCCATGCAGCGGAACTTCTCATCCACTATTTTCTGCAGGGTTTGTGGAAATAAAGTTGTTTTAACCTCCATCTAACTAAAATGGCATGTGTTAAAATCTAAACCCACAAACTCAACCATCTTAGACTACTAACAATTAACATGATATAAAGGAGTTCACAGGACATGTTGTGTTGGTCTAATTGTTTTGGCTTTTGTCATGTGTTGGCGAGCGTACTGCTGTGTTTACCTCCAGAGCTCCGTCTCGCTCCTTTATACGCTGGCGAAGTTTCTGAAGCACAGAGTCTCTTTTCTCCGTTGGATCCTCCAGGAACTCACAGCAGTCCTGCTGGACAGCAAACAGACCGTCAACTGCAGAGTAATTACAATCCTACTTATCCACAAAGACAAAATAGAGCTTGAATGGAGCTGAAGTTTTCAGAAAGCTGTGAGAGCAACTGCAGCTCATCTTACTTTTAGTTTTGTCGTTCTTTGCTCAGATGCGGAGCATTTTAAGCATTAGTCATGTGCACTTCTGTGTTTATTATACAATATTGACAAGAATGAGATCTGTTTGTATTTATTATCGTCGAACATGATGGTTTGTTTACTGTTTACAGACTATTTGATTGTGTCCAACCTCCACCAGCTGTTCTTTGGTCTTCAGGGAAGCCTTCAGCTCGCTGATGATCTTCTCTCTCTCCTCCTTTTCTCTCTGTCTCTCTCGCTCACCCTCTCTCAGTTGCTCCTCTCTCTCCTGGAGAGCTGATCGAGCCTTTTCTAGAGCTAGCTGCAGCTCCTGAGTGTCGCGCATGCACGACACGATAAAGTGAAAAGAACCACGATGCAATTAAAACAAAGAAAAGAAGAATGACGAAAACACCCTCATTAAAAAAAAAAAGTCATTTTCTCACCTGGTTGTGTCTCTCTGCCTCCCTCTTGTGTTCCAGCGACCCCTGCAGCTCTTTCTCTAGTCTCTCCAGGGCCCGGTTCAGGTCCTCCTGAGTCCTGACTGCCTGACACTGGGCTCTCTGTCCAGCCTGCAGCTCCAGTTGAGCTTGGAACAGAGAGGCCTGCAGAGCCAGGACCTCACCCTGACCTCTAATAGTCTCTGCACCAGACGCCTACAAGTAAAACCAGTCAGGGAAGAAAGAAAGACATAAAGGGCAGGTGAGGAACCAAACAGGAATGAAACTCAACTCAACTCTGAAACATGTTTTTATTGTATGCTGAAAAATTATTTTAGATAGGCAGCTTGGTAATTAATAAAACAGAACTGTGCTTTGTGTGGAGGACCAACCTGCAGCTGCTGCAGCTGGTTGCGGTTGGCAAGCTCTTTGAGTGAGCACAGTGTCTTATTTTGCTCCTCAATCACCCTGTACAGCTCTGCAACCTGCACAATCAAAGGCACAATTCATGTGTGAAACTGTGGGGTTTTCAGCACTTCCACCTCTGACCTTACTTTCATTCTCTCTGCAATGCTCAGATTTTGAATTCCCTCCTTTATTTACTATCAAGCCTTATTTATCACTACTGTACCTCTGCCTGTTTGGAGTTTACAGTATCAGTGAGGTTCTGGATATTTCTCTCCTGTTGCTGGGCATCCTCTTGGGCCGATCGCAGCTCAAGCTCCATTTCACCTAGACGCTCCTGCAGCTTCTACATACACACAAACACCCAGAACAAAATTCCACATTATCTGGAATATATTACGGCATGTGTTTGTATGTTTTCACCCACAGTCCAAAGACATGCATGTTAGATTCATTAGCAATTCTAAACTAGCTGTACGTATGAATGTAAGTGTGAATGACTGTCTGTGTTGGCCTTGCAAAACACCAGCGATCTGTCCAGGGTGTGCCTTGCCATTGGCCAAATATTAGCAAGGATAGGCTTCAGCTCTCCTAAGAGCTGTACAAGTGGATATTTTGACAGTGTCATGTTTCAAGTTCAAAGTATATGAAGGCAAAAAGAAGATGAAGCGGTAGTTTTGGAGACTGGTGTCTTTGTACCTGGTTCCTCGTCTCGCTCTCTCTGATCTTGGCCTGTAGTGAGCGCACCTGATCCTGGGCCTTCTGCAGCTCGCCAACACACTGACCTGCAGCACTCTCATAATAACTGAGCTGACCCTGCTGATTGTCAATCAATCGCTGAAAAAGAGACAGGAGGAAGCATGACAGATTCGCCAGTGAGGAGAATGTGTTAGTAGATTATGATGAGGTATGGAGATGAAACAGTACATTTTTATCATATTACTGATGATTCATGAATACAGTTGTTAAGTCTTAACATTTGTTGATTACAACGTTATAGTAGCAGTCTGATTAGTCTGCTTTTCTTTGCATCACATGTTACGAATGTATACTTGTGGGTTATTATGAGCTGTGACAAACCTAAATTTAAAGTTTGGTTCTTAACCAAGGATTAAAAGTTATAGTCCTCCAGATAAACACAGTCTTTTATTATTGTTGCAGCTGTTGTGTGGATGATGGAGTGAAAGTGGAAAGTGATGTCAGCTTGGTGTCGGATGGCTTCCTCTGGAAGTGGGTGTTGCCATAGCAGCATTTTGTTGACTTCCTTGTTTTTGTTTTTATGAGACTGTAATGATGTGATGTCACTCAGCCCTTGGAGACATTAGCTCTGTGCGCAGCCTTTTCTACAGTCATTTCAGCTGTGTCCCAGAGCAACACTGTGTCAAGCAGTGTGGTGAAAAGAAAGAAAGCGTAAACCAACTGGATTTGTACCAGAGGAACGATCGCTTCATTTTCTATATATTAACGAATTACACTAGAATGGGGCTAATATTTACATCACTATGTTGTCTGATTGAATTAAATAATCTGATATGCAACATAATGCAGAATAAGATACTTGTAGGGGCTTAGAAATTGTGTCATCCCCAGTTCATTTCTGAAATGTGTTTTAAAACAACAGTCGGGAACATTTGAACACTGATTTCTGGTCAAAACCATTAATCAAATCCTACATACACTAAAATATACTTTTCCAAGGCCCTTTCAATAAATGTGAAGCAGATCCCCCCCCCAAAGCATGGTCTCAGTAGTCAGGAATTTAACAACAGAATTCCCCATTTGTGAGCCTTTGGACATTCTGTATTGTAGTAAGCAAGTATCAAATAACAAAAAAAAAAATCACAAGATATTTTCCTGATTTGACTCGGTGAGCCTCGTATTTGCTTCAGAAAACAGTATTTTTGGGGGGGGTTGGGAAGCTCATCTTGTAACCGGAAGGTTGCCGGTTCGATCCCCAGCTCTGTCTGTCTTGGTCGTTGTGTCCTTGGGCAAGACACTTCACCTACCGCCTACTGGTGGTGGCCAGAGGGGCCGATGGCGCGATATGGCAGCCTGGCTTCTGTCAGTCTGCCCCAGGGCAGCTGTGGCTACAACTGTAGCTTGCCTCCACCAGTGTGTGAATGTGAGAGTGAATGAATAGTGGAATTGTAAAGCGCTTTGAGGGTCTCGAAAAGTGCTATATAAATGCAATCCATTATTATTATTATTTTTGTATGAACCTAGTCATAAATCGCACTGTAAGACAGCTGCTCTACATCTTTGGAGGCCAGAGAGTGATGAGCCAGAACAAGACCCAGAAAGCTTCTAACAGTTCTGCTGATATTACACGTTGAGTACTTTACCACAAGGGTACAGAAATCTCAGCAAAATAATCCAGAGTTTAGTTGTATGAATGACATATTTGTTTCTTCATTCCTGGACTAATGTGTGCACTGTGCAGTTTTGTGTATTGCATTACAATAGCCGTATATGTTTGACAATAATAGACTATCACATAGCTGTTGTGTGTCTGTACGCTCCTTTCAGACTGAACCACATTTTAACTGTTCATTAACATGACAATAGAAGTTATGAAGCTGCAGTAGACAGAAGAGCCTTTACAGAGCGATGGCTGCAGACCTTGGAAACGGTTTCCATAGCAATGGAAGGGTCGCTAAGATACCGTAAAAGAGGGTTATTTATGCTTCCTTTGAGGGTAATCAAGGCGGTGAGTGTGTTCAGCTTTGTCAGCAGTGGAGGAGACAAGCAAGAGAAGATTAAGAGGGGTCTGACCTCACTCATTGTGGATGCTGGTCAGAAATAGTTTGCTTTATTCTGACGCCCCTACATCTGATTCTAATGTGGAGCAAATCTGACACTTGTCCCCTAGTTTGTACTCACTTTTTTTGATAAAAAAAATAACTTCAGTGATTGTAATAGGATTACACCTGGGTTTTAAATTACTACCTATAATTTTCCTACAAAGTTCTCCATATTATTATATTATATTTATTTATATTTTTTTATTTATATATAGTGTGTTTTAGAGTTTGCAACTAATTTAAGGCTGTTTACAGCTGCAAGAAGTCAGCACTTTGACTGTAAATAAGATTTTAAAGCAACCCAACCCTGACAAGTATTTTATAAAGTGCAACCCCACAGACTATTGCACCTTTCTCAAGTCTGAGAGGCACCCAGATCTTTAGGCTTTGGAACATGCTTCCCATTAAAAAGCTATAACTATTAATCCTGCAAATTGAATGAGCTAAGTTAAAGGCCATCCAGTATCCAAGGCTTCTGATGTACCTGCTGAAACTGAAATGGCCCACACAGAACATAATCATCCATCCACTGCTCCTCCATCTCTTCCAGCTCAGCCTGGAGCTCCTGTTGGGGACATGGGGTCACGATCTCTGGTATACTGTGGTGGGTGTGCAGCTCACAGTCTGCTGTCTCTGCATAGGGCAACCTCAGTGATAGGTGCAGGGGCAGTGACAGGCCTCGCTCCGGTTTGGTTTTGACTAGAACTGGGATCTTGCTGCCCCTTCGGGATTTCACTGGCCGGTGTTCACAACCCCGCAAGAGGGTCAGCATCATCTCAAACCCAGACAGGAAGCTCTCACATGGGGTCTTGTCCCACTGAATGTCTCTTCTCACCATTGCCTCACTTCCATCTTTCTCTGGGTCAGTTTCTTCCTTCTCTTTATGATCTAAAGGAAGACAACTGACGTCCACAGTGGTGTTGAGAGACTCCACAGATGATGCAGGACTGGAACTCTTCTGCTCACAAATGGTCTTTTCAGGTTCCATCCCAGCAGAAGGTGACTCAAAGGTGATGGCTGTATCAGCTCCAGGGCCTCTGGCCACAAACTCCACTTCCTGTGTGGCTGTTGAGCAGCGGGTAGTTGGGCCGCAGGATGTGCTTCTGCGCCCGAGCCTTCTAGGAACCTTACATACAGCCTCATAATCAGAATCAGCAACTCGAAGTGCAGCACAACCCCTACATCGCCTCTGCTTGTGACCAGAGAGGGAGTCTGCTCCTGTGCACTGGTGGAGGTGGTGGTGGTGGTGATGATGATGGTCCAGGGCAGGGTATTCCTTATCAGCCCATGACTCATACACGGAGAAGGTAAGATCGTCCTGGATCATGTCTGAGTATCTTACATCCTGGAGTGATGACAGATCCACCACAGGAGCGTCTTCAGACGCCGTCTCAGTCACGACTCTGACACTGGATGGAGGGGGGACCACGCTGCACTCCTCTGAGTTGTTCTTCCAGTACAGGCCTCCAATACACTGCCTCAGCCGGTCTTTCTCGAGGAGTAGCTTGTGGAGACGCTCCAGAGACAATGCCTCCACTCGGGCAATCACTGTATCAAAGCGGTACATGCGGTCTAACATGAAGGTGCACTTTGAGCACGCAAACTCACCACGGCCATCCCGGGTCAGCTCACGGCCCAACGCGTGGGAAAGCAGCACCTGCAGATTGAGCTTGGCTGTTGGGTGGAAAATCCATCTGCGCTGGTTGCCACAGAGCTCACGGGCACAGATCCTGCAAGTCTCCTTCATCTTTACCACATCTAGCATCACAACACGTGGCGAACGGATAATACAAGAGAGCTTTAAAAGTCACTTCCTTTTGATGCATGTAAGAATTTCATTGCAGGGCTGGATGAAAGATGATGCTTCTCTCCCGAACTACTATCATTTGGTGTTTTTCCAAGTTATCCATTAAATGGATAAAGGAGGAAGATGAATTCAGAGTCCAGAGTCAAATCTGAACCAAAGTGAATCTTGGGCAGAAATGTTTTATGATACTGCAGGAAAACAAAGAGGTGGCAGTCTATTCAGACATTTTATTTATCTGTTTTGTCAGATCAAATAAAAGTAGGCCCGTTAATGGAGACAAACACACTGCAGCAGCATCGTGGCCACGTTTCCCTGATTACTCAAACCTTTCGATCGGGCTGGCACGTCTGAGCAACGTGATCAGCGCCTTTAATTCAGCCAAAGACATTTCCCCTCGGAGCGGATGTGAATGAATCTTCTCTGTCATGGGTTTCACTTCCTTGGTGGGGAAGCACAGACGTCAACTCAAATCTCACTCCTGCGCTGAATTTCAACCTTGCCGTTTCCACCTGAACGATCCCGTTAAGTGTGTCACAACAGCGGCTTTTTCTGCCTTTGAAATCAATGACGTCTCTTTATATGACAGCATCTCTCTGCCGCAGCTGCTGCCAGGTAAACAACCGGAAACGAACACGGAAACAAAACGCGATTTCCTTCCTTAGTCAGCGATTTGGATGTTCCAAGGTTTACCGGCTCCCGTCTGCGTCCCCGTTCAGCTGTGTCCACTTCATCAGCGGAGGCTGTCAATCGTCCGGGTGCTTTCAAAACGAGACAACGAGGCAACGCGGACTGAAACCGAAGATCGTGTATCAAAGAGAGGATGTCTCACTCTGATGCTCGAAATAATCTGGTGTGCCAATCCCGGGGAAATCTGCCTTTTCCCTCTTGTGACACTAGTCCACTTTACACAATTAATCTGGCCACAGATGTGCTATGGACACAGTACAACTTTGGTAATAACGACTACGACGGCAACGAGTTTCACTACTGATTTCTTTTCGACACCAAAAGCCCATCAAAAATGTTTTAACACAGTCAAATCAAGCCAAATTATTTTTTTGGTGTCTTTCTGTACTCTATGGAAGCCCGTTTCCGCCACTAAAAAAAAAAAAAAAGCTAGTATCCATAACTCGAAATTTCGAGTTATTTTCTCGAAATTTCGAGTTATATTTCTCGAAATTTCGAGATAACTCGAAATTTCGAGAAAATAACTCGAAATTTCGAGTTATGGATACTAGCTTTTTTTTTTTTTTAGTGGCGGAAACGGGCTTCCATAGTACTCTGATGTAATATTAAATGCATCTCCTGGATATGTGTAGTTAAACCAGTAGTTTTTAATAAATGAATTCCCCCCCCCAGTCCATATTATCAGCGTCAGAGTGGGACCTCGTGTAGAAGGCAGGACTGAACCATTTTCTTGGCTCGGCTGAACGGTGGGGTGGGGTTGGTGAGCCCTTCCCTTTAAATCTAGTGACTGTCTTTCAAATGAAATTTCTGGATTTCTTCAGGCAAAAGATGAGGCCTCTTAATTCACTCTTACCGTAACTGTCAACACAAACATTTATGTTTCTCTGTAAGTAAAAGTTCCTATGTTAACAAATGTTAACAGTAAAACTGGAGTGCAGATGCAAGGTAAACAGTCTGTTCTTACACTTACAAAAATAGTTTATTTTGATTGTGTTATTACTAATGTAAAGTCATCCAGTCATAAAATATTATTAATTTTAACGTAGTCGCTGCTCATTTGTATTGTAAAGAGATTTTTTTTGAACGATAACCAAACGTTTTAATATGATATTTTGATCTCTCCATGTTCAAAATGACGAAATATAAAACTAAATAAGGTAGGATTTCCCCTCGGAAAATCTTAATGTCATTTACCGTTTTTATTTGGCTTTTAATCATGTTTGTGGAAATCTACAAGCAATCAAATGGCAGTAGCAAGGACTAACACTACATATGATGTTCCATGTGCAAAACCTTCTGCTAATTCCCTTTCAGATCATCCATATTAAATCAGGGTGTGACCGCCTGTTTAATTAAAAATCTTACTTTTCATTTCCAGCTTGTGTGTTTGGATGTATCAATAAAATTAGCCCTGTGTGTTTTCCATCAGGTTCATTAAATCTAAATCTAATCTCTAAATTGTCAGCATGGAATGAGTTCATGCCTTTCCCAGGGGCACACACTCCCAGTCTGGCCTTGATATGTGTGTCACACAGCATGAAGGGGGAAAGGAGGGAGGCAAATGGGCTCTGTTATTTCTCTGGAATTGATGTCAGTGAATCACATGACACTTTAATCAAGAAGCAGCCCACTGTCCTCCTCTTAAAAGAAGCCCCTCCAACATGCACACACACACTTAAAAAGCATCATCCATCTTTCCTTATTGAAGCAGGCTAGCTGTGTTGTTGATACAACTGCTCTCACATGTGATTTATTTTCCTCAGAGTGTGTGGGCCAACACAGAACTCTATTTTGGCCCTTGCTGCATCTACATTTGTCACCCTACAAGCCACTAGAGACACAACACTAAAAACTGATCGGCTAGAATGAGGCACGCAATCAAAAATCCATTAATCCTAATCAGAGATAAGTACCAAACAGTGCTGACAGACTGCACCCGCTGTTTACTTTTTTCTAAGTGGCAGAAATACCAAAGGGTGACAGCAGAAAATGAACACTGATGCAGACAGAACAGATATCCCCGCCCAATTTTTCTCTCTCAGATGTGTCAGTTGTTGCTGTGCTAGTTAAACAACCGATTCCTTCTGTGTGTTGAGCCGCCAGGAAAAACTGATTTAATCATAACTGGTACAGATGAGGAAAATGAGACTATATTTGCAGAAATATACTGCACATATGACATGACTCTGCACTGACACTGATCCTTGCTGATGCTCTATAAGGAACTGTGCCTCCTAATTTTAGAAAGAGAAACATAAGCCTTTGTTCCAGCTGAAGATTAGGATACAATAATAAGTGAAACAGAAACTGACTGGAACTTAAAATAGGACTAAGGCTGGAAAACACAATAACTGGGACCTGCAGATGGACGGTGACCCGACACTCTGACAAGACACAAAGGGAGACTGAGAAATTATCTACATACAAGAGTGTGATTAGGGAAGTAGAGACAGCTGCGAAAACAGCAGAGACAAATCAGGAGTAATGAAAAAGGGGAAGCAAAACTGAACGCACAAGAGACACAGGCTATCAAAATAAAAGAGGAAGCATAAACAGTGAGACAGAGACAAAGACACATGAACCTGACAAAGAGGAGACAAAAGAAGCAGGATAGGAAATAACTATATAACTTGGACACAAAAAGACCGAGGCCAAAGACAACTACAAGAAACACGAGATGAGGGACTGGCAAAATATGATGGAAAGTATAGAACTCGACATACAGACAGAAAGAGGAGACGAGACTGCCTGCATACATGGGACACTAGGGAGGACACAGGGATGAGACGAGTCTGGACATGAAAGGGAACCAAATGAAACAAGGAACTGAGAAGTAGAAACATGAATAAACTAGGAAACAGTGGAAATACTAAACTAGGAAACTAAACAGTGAAAACTAGAATGTAATCATAATAAAAACGGTTTTTTATTTCTACTTCTCTACACAACTTGCTTCATTCACACAAACACTTTCCCCCCCTCTATGCTTTTTCTACCTAACATTCACACGCTCATTCGGCATGCAGACTGGCGCACGCAGAGACTGAATCACCGAGCTTCTGAGTGATACGTGATCAGCTCTGCCACCTCAGCTACAGCCACTCCAGAGGTGGATAAGGGGAATATATACTCAGAACACAGGGAAGAAAACTAGGACCCATGTCAGTGTTTCACAAGAAACAATATTCAAACAGTTAAAATGTTTTTGTTTTATTTTAATTATGAACCCTTTAAAGGGTAAATGTGCAATACTCTTGATTGTATTTTTCTTTTACCTGGCCTTTTATGATGACAAAATATCAGGTGTAGAAACTTCAGTTTTAAATTATGACATTGCTAAAATCCTAATTTTACTATCTAAACAAGCAGTGAAAGCAGTGAACATATATGCTTGGGTGTTTAAAATGAGAGGAGTATTAAATCTGATGCTACAGTCATACTGTATGTGCAGTGTGGATTAAGTTACAGAAGGTGGAGCTACTTGTCTATGAATGGAGAAGATGGGCCTCCTTGTCTGAGATGCACACCACCAACAAAAGCTGCCAGTAAAAATGTAGACGTGAGATTGGGTAGCTATCAGAATATAAATGCAGAAAATACTGCAGAGGGTAAAAGTTCAAAGATCTCACAAGTAAAGTTTTGTCCTACCTGCATCTGTGCATGAACTGTGCACTCGTGCTCACACTGCAAAGAAACAAGTGCAATAATGTCACACATAAACCACCAACATGGTTTCATGTTACTACTTTTTAGCTCTCACAGGTCAAAACCTTGATTTTGAGCTACAAAGGCAGCTATCCCCATCAACACCACCTTTGTCCACCTCATTATTTGTTGATGAGGTGTGTGTTGAGGCTCAGACTGCATATTTTAGGAACTGCATCAGGTTCAAAGTACAGTATTTGTTGAAAATAAGTAGAGATGGTAAAAATGAGACATTTATTCAAATGCAAGCAGAAAAACACAAGCATACAGGGGTTTACATGGTCCTAAAAAGGTGCACATATTTTTAGCTTCATGGTGGCGTGAGCTGTCTACCGTGCCAATGTTCCACTGACCCACATGCAGATATAAAAACAGTTTCATATCTTACTGGGTTGACCTATCTGCTGTTTGAGCCAGAACACTTAGAGCAAAGTGACAGAAGATGAGAAGGGGGGTTGAGGCAACCAGCAGAGAATTTAGACCAGGACTGGCACGCGTGTCTGGATCACAGTCAATGTCTGGAGTCCGTCTACTAAGCAAAAGACCTTTGGATTTTTTTGAAAGATGAAAAAACGTTGGAAAATATTTAATATTCCATATCCAAATATTCAATGCCATTGGACCATATGAATGGAAAAAAATGGATAGTTGTAATGCTGTGATATAATTCAGAGGCAAGTCCTGTTTTGAGACAAGCAGCACAGTAAAGGGTCGGCAAGGTTGTGTGTTGATCCTACACAGAGCCTCAGTGCAATTGTCAGACAGTCATCTACAAACTGTAGCCGTTTACTGTCACCAAGGAACAGTGCCAAACAGCTGGTTGTGGACTACTCTTGCAGTTGTTGCTCTTGTGCAGTTGTTGGTCCTTCAGCCAGCTCGAGTGAAACTGAGAGCTATAAACAAAACCCTGTTGCTCTGTTTGTGTGCCAGCTAACCCAAAGATTGTGCAGAGCTCCTAAGTTGGCTAATTCTGAGACTTTGTTTTTTGCCTGCAGCCTGTCAACCCTTTCTTCTGAGGTGGATGGATTGGCGCCATCAGAATCTAGCCTGTCAAGTCTGTGTGTCCTGCATTTTTCTTTCCTCTTTCGCTGGCAAAGATTCCAGAGAATCTCCCATCGCTGGTGCTTCCTGACTCAGATCTTGGACTTCTGCCGCCAAAGCCCAAGTTACCTGAGCCAGAGCCAGAGGGTCCAATGTTGCCATAGTCATTATCATCTCACTCCTTGACCGCCTGACAAGCTCCTCCTCCACTGTTGGCTTGCTGCGCGCCTTCCAGTGGGGATAACACCTACACTGGTGTTAGAATCTTTTCCATCTCCTCTGCCACCAGGTCGACCCCCAAAATTAAGCCTCTGCTCTGTCCTGCATTTGGGTCAACTATCTGTGCTTCTTTGGTTTGCCCTGAACCCACTTCCAGATCACTCCCTCTGCTGTCCCTGGTCCAACCCACAGAAAATGAGTATCACTTACAAA